AGGTAATGTTTATAGACAGGTATTATCTATTTAGAGGTGGTGTTTATAGACAGGTATTTTGTACTTAGAGGTGGTGTTTATAGACAGGTATTATCTTCTTAGTGGTGGTGTTAATAGACAGGTATTATCTACTTAGAGGTAATGTTTATAGACAGGTATTATCTATTTAGAGGTGGTGTTTATAGACAGGTATTTTGTACTTAGAGGTGGTGTTTATAGACAGGTATTTTGTACTTAGAGGTGGTGTTTATAGACAGGTATTATCTACTTAGTGGTAGTGTTTATAGACAGGTATTATCTACTTAGAGGTGGTGTTTATAGACAGGTATTTTGTACTTAGAGGTAGTTTTTATAGACAGGTATTATCTACTTAGAGGTGGTGTTTATAGACAGGTATTTTGTACTTAGAGGTAGTTTTTATAGACAGGTATTATCTACTTAGAGGTGGTGTTTATAGACAGGTATTTTGTACTTAGAGGTAGTTTTTATAGACAGGTATTATCTACTTAGAGGTGGTGTTTATAGACAGGTATTATCTACTTAGAGGTAGTGTTTATAGACAGGTATTATCTACTTAGAGGTGGTGTTTATAGACAGGTATTATCTACTTAGAGGTAGTGTTTATAGACAGGTATTATCTACTTAGAGGTGGTGTTTATAGACAGGTATTATCTACTTAGAGGTAGTGTTTATAGACAGGTATTATCTACTTAGAGGTGGTGTTTATAGACAGGTATTATCTACTTAGAGGTAGTGTTTATAGACAGGTATTATCTACTTAGAGGTGGTGTTTATAGACAGGTATTATCTACTTAGAGGTAGTGTTTATAGACAGGTATTATCTACTTAGAGGTGGTGTTTATAGACAGGTATTATCTACTTAGAGGTAGTGTTTATAGACAGGTATTATCTACTTAGAGGTGGTGTTTATAGACAGGTATTATCTACTTAGAGGTAGTGTTTATAGACAGGTATTATCTACTTAGAGGTGGTGTTTATAGACAGGTATTATCTACTTAGAGGTAGTGTTTATAGACAGGTATTATCTACTTAGAGGTGGTGTTTATAGACAGGTATTTTGTACTTAGAGGTAGTTTTTATAGACAGGTATTATCTACTTAGAGGTGGTGTTTATAGACAGGTATTTTGTACTTAGAGGTAGTTTTTATAGACAGGTATTATCTACTTAGAGGTTGTGTTTATAGACAGGTATTATCTACTTAGAGGTGGTGTTTATAGACAGGTATTATCTACTTAGAGGTAGTGTTTATAGACAGGTATTATCTACTTAGAGGTGGTGTTTATAGACAGGTATTATCTACTTAGAGGTAGTGTTTATAGACAGGTATTATCTACTTAGAGGTGGTGTTTATAGACAGGTATTATCTACTTAGAGGTAGTGTTTATAGACAGGTATTATCTACTTAGAGGTGGTGTTTATAGACAGGTATTATCTACTTAGAGGTAGTGTTTATAGACAGGTATTATCTACTTAGAGGTGGTGTTTATAGACAGGTATTATCTACTTAGAGGTAGTGTTTATAGACAGGTATTATCTACTTAGAGGTGGTGTTTATAGACAGGTATTATCTACTTAGAGGTAGTGTTTATAGACAGGTATTATCTACTTAGAGGTGGTGTTTATAGACAGGTATTTTCTACTTAGAGGTAGTGTTTATAGACAGGTATTATCTACTTAGAGGTGGTGTTTATAGACAGGTATTTTCTACTTAGAGGTAGTTTTTATAGACAGGTATTATCTACTTAGAGGTGGTGTTTATAGACAGGTATTTTCTACTTAGAGGTAGTGTTTATAGACAGGTATTATCTACTTAGAGGTGGTGTTTATAGACAGGTATTTTCTACTTAGAGGTAGTGTTTAAAGACAGGTATTTTCTACTTAGTGGTGGTGTTTATTGACAGGTATTTTCCACTTAGAGTTGGTGTTTATAGACAGGTATTATATATTTAGAGGTGGTGTTTATAGACAGGTATTTTCTACTTAGAGGTGGTGTTTATAGACTGGTATTTTCTACTTAGAGGTAATGTTTATAGACAGGAATTATCTATTTAGAGGTAGTGTTTCTGGACAGGTATTTTGTACTTAGTTGTAGTGTTTAAAGACAGGTATTTTCTACTTAGTGGTGGTGTTTATTGACAGGTATTTTCTACTTAGAGGTAATGTTTATAGACAGGAATTATCTATTTAGAGGTAGTGTTTATAGACAGGTATTATCTACTTAGAGGTAATGTTTATAGACAGGTATTATCTATTTAGAGGTAGTGTTTCTAGACAGGTATTTTGTACTTAGTTGTAGTGTTTATAGACAGGTATTATCTACTTAGAGATGGTGTTTATAGACAGGTATTATCTACTTAGAGATGGTGTTTATAGACAGGTATTATCTTCTTAGTGGTGGTGTTTATAGACAGGTATTATCTACTTAGAGGTAATGTTTATAGACAGGTATTATCTATTTAGAGGTGGTGTTTAAAGACAGGTATTTTGTGCTTAGATGTGGTGTTTATAGACAGGTATTATCTTCTTAGTGGTGGTGTTAATAGACAGGTATTATCTACTTAGAGGTAATGTTTATAGACAGGTATTATCTATTTAGAGGTGGTGTTTATAGACAGGTATTTTGTACTTAGAGGTGGTGTTTATAGACAGGTATTTTGTACTTAGAGGTGGTGTTTATAGACAGGTATTATCTACTTAGTGGTAGTGTTTATAGACAGGTATTATCTACTTAGAGGTGGTGTTTATAGACAGGTATTTTGTACTTAGAGGTAGTTTTTATAGACAGGTATTATCTACTTAGAGGTGGTGTTTATAGACAGGTATTATCTACTTAGAGGTTGTGTTTATAGACAGGTATTATCTACTTAGAGGTGGTGTTTATAGACAGGTATTATCTACTTAGAGGTTGTGTTTATAGACAGGTATTATCTACTTAGAGGTGGTGTTTATAGACAGGTATTATCTACTTAGAGGTTGTGTTTATAGACAGGTATTATCTACTTAGAGGTGGTGTTTATAGACAGGTATTATCTACTTAGAGGTTGTGTTTATAGACAGGTATTATCTACTTAGAGGTGGTGTTTATAGACAGGTATTATCTACTTAGAGGTTGTGTTTATAGACAGGTATTATCTACTTAGAGGTGGTGTTTATAGACAGGTATTATCTACTTAGAGGTTGTGTTTATAGACAGGTATTATCTACTTAGAGGTGGTGTTTATAGACAGGTATTATCTACTTAGAGGTTGTGTTTATAGACAGGTATTATCTACTTAGAGGTGGTGTTTATAGACAGGTATTATCTACTTAGAGGTTGTGTTTATAGACAGGTATTATCTACTTAGAGGTGGTGTTTATAGACAGGTATTATCTACTTAGAGGTAGTGTTTATAGACAGGTATTATCTACTTAGAGGTGGTGTTTATTGACAGGTATTATCTACTTAGAGGTAGTGTTTATAGACAGGTATTATCTACATAGAGATGGTGTTTATAGACAGGTATTATCTACTTAGAGGTTGTGTTTATAGACAGGTATTTTGTACTTAGAGGTAGTGTTTATAGACAGGGATTACTTTGCTATCAAAAGGTCACATTTATAAACAGATGTTTACTTAGAGCTGTTACTTTTAACGAGATATTACAGAGCAAAAATGATATGGCTTGATTTTGTTTGGTGCAAAATAGAATGCTTTTGTTTAATTATAGTAAATGTGACCTTGTTCTTTGACCTTTGGATTTGAAAAGCTGCTGAACAGAAGGGAATTTTCTATTCATTGTAACAGTAACCTGAATAGTGTAACAATCCATCTGTATTTGCTGTGCTCTTACAGAAAGGGATTTCTGTAAGAGAACAGTAAATAGAGATGGATTGTTACAGGCCAACAGGCAGTAAGCTATTGCGTGGAAACCAATTTTGTATCAGAGACCTTGACATTTGGCCGGTGGATATGAAAAGAAATTCCTGGCGAGCAATTTTCAAAAGAAAGCAGTTTATGAAGTTTGGAGGGATGACAGACCACAGATGAAGGGCCATGGATGGTGGGACGACAGACCACAGATAAAGGGCCATGATTGGAGGGACAACAGATCACAGATGAAGAGCCATGGATGAAGGGACAACAGATCACAGATGAAGGGCCATGAATGAAGGGATGACAGACCACAGATGAAGGGCCATGGATGAAGGGATGACAGACCACAGATGAAGAGCCATGGATGGTGGGACGACAAATCACAGATGAAGAGCCATGGATGGTGGGACGACAGACCACAGATGAAGGGCTATGGAAGGAGGGATGACAGATCACAGATGAAGGGCTATGAATGGTGGGACGACAGACCACAGATGAAGGGCTATGGATGGAGGGATGACAGACCACAGATGAAGGGCTATGGATGGTGGGATGACAGACCACAGATGAAGGGCTATGGATGGATGGACGACAGACCACATATGAAGGGCTATGGATGGAGGGACAACAGACCACAGATGAAGGGCTATGGATGGTGGGACGACAGACCAAAGATGAAGAGCCATGGATGGAGGGAGGACAGACCACAGATGAAAGGGCTATGGATGGAGGGATGACAGACCACAGATGAAGAGCCATGGATGGAGGGATGACAGACCACAGATGAAGGGCTATGGATGGAGGGATGACATACCACAGATGAAGGGCCATGGATGGTGGGACGACAGACCACAGATGAAGGGCTTTGAATGGAGGAATGAAAGACCACATATGAAAGGCTATGAAGGGGATAAAAAGTAGTATCCCCAAAATCTGCTGGTGTACAGAGGAATAGACTCTGTGAGGACAACTTGATGTTTTGTTTCCTGGTCATGTGATGAGTTTTAACCAATCTGATACCTGTTGTAGTCCTGGCCTATGCTCTAGTAACTTACCTGAGTATACCTTTGTAGGACAGGTAGGTAACACAACACCTGTTGTAGTCCCATACCTATTATTACTTACCTGAGTATACCATTTGACATGAGGAAAGTCAAGTGTGTGTCAGATTCACTCCCAGGATGCCACAGGACCTGTTGTAGCCCTGCTCCCTTGTGACTGGCAAAGAAATGGCTGGCAATACTAACAGACCTGCAACGAAACAGTGAAAACAACGAAAAATGTAATTAAAGCTTTACAGAATATTAATATATAAACATACAGACAAATTCTACCTGACTGTTACATACATCTGCTCTAGACCAGGCCAGCATTCTATAAACGTCATCTTCCATGTGTTTCCACTTTGATTTAATTCTAAAGATGACTTGTTTAATGATCTACAGACTCGGCGAAGTGACTCCATGGTTCACTTCAGTGACATGCCACTCGTTGAAAAATGACAAGTGACTAGATGGTGATGGAGGAAGCTAGGGTACCCAGAGAAAAACCACCGACCTGTGGCTAGTACCTGACTGCCCCACGTAGGCCTAGAACCCCAACCCAGTGGTGGAGGGCTAGTGATCATAGACAGTCAGACACCTTAACCAATCAGTGAGAGATCTAGTCACACTTACTTGCAGGTTATGGACGGTTTACCCCCCTCTAGCTCCGTGTAACACTCCCAGTGTAAGGGGAGTGAGATATCTAGTCACACTTACTTGCAGGTTATGGACGGTTTGCCCCCCTCTAGCTCTGTGTAACACTCCCAGTGTGAGGGGAGTGAGACATCTAGTCACAATTACTTGCAGGTTATGGACAGTTTGCCCCCCTCTAGCTCTGTGTAACGTTCCCAGTGAAAGGGGAGTGAGACATCTAGTCACACTTACTTGCAGGTTATGGATGGTTTGCCCCCCTTCTAGCTCTGCGTAACACTCCCAGTGTGAGGGGAGTGAGATATCTAGTCACACTTACTTGCAGGTTATGGACGGTTTGCTCCCCTTTAGCTCTGTGTAACATTCCCAGTGTAAGGGGAGTGAGACATCTAGTCACACTTACTTGCAGGTTATGGATGGTTTGCCCCCCTTCTAGCTCTGCGTAACACTCCCAGTGTGAGGGGAGTGAGATATCTAGTCACACTTACTTGCAGGTTATGGACGGTTTGTCCCCCTTCTAGCTCTGCTTAACACTCCCAGTGTAAGGGGAGTGAGATATCTAGTCACACTTACTTGCAGGTTATGGACGGTTTGCCCCCCTCTAGCTCTGTGTAACACTCCCAGGGTGAGGGGAGTGAGATATCTAGTCACCTACTTGCAGGTTATGGACGGTTTGCCCCCTCTAGCTCTGTGTAACATTCCCAGTGTAAGGGAAGTGAGATATCTAGTCACACTTACTTGCAGGTTATGGACGGTTTGCCCCCCTTTAGGTCTGTGTAACACTCCCAGTGTAAGGGGAGTGAGATATCTAGTCACACTTACGTGCAGGTTATGGACGGTTTGCACCCTCTAGCTCTGTGTAACACTCCCAGTGTAAGGGGAGTGAGATATCTAGTCACACTTACTTGCAGGTTATGGACGGTTTGCCCCCCTCTAGCTCTGTGTAACACTCCCAGTGTAAGGGGAGTGAGATATCTAGTCACACTTACTTGCAGGTTATGGACGGTTTGCCCCCCTCTAGCTCTGTGTAACACTCCCAGTGTAAGGGGAGTGAGATATCTAGTCACACTAACTTGCAGGTTATGGACAGTTTGCCCCCCTCTAGCTCTGTGTAACACTCCCAGTGTAAGGGGAGTGAGATATCTAGTCACACTAACTTGCAGGTTATGGACAGTTTGCCCCCCTCTAGCTCTGTGTAACACTCCCAGTGTAAGGGGAGTGAGATATCTAGTCACACTAACTTGCAGGTTATGGACAGTTTGCCCCCCTCTAGCTCTGTGTAACACTCCCAGTGTAAGGGGAGTGAGATATCTAGTCACACTAACTTGCAGGTTATGGACAGTTTGCCCCCCTCTAGCTCTGTGTAACACTCCCAGTGTAAGGGGAGTGAGATATCTAGTCACACTAACTTGCAGGTTATGGACAGTTTGCCCCCCTCTAGCTCTGTGTAACACTCCCAGTGTAAGGGGAGTGAGATATCTAGTCACACTAACTTGCAGGTTATGGACAGTTTGCCCCCCTCTAGCTCTGTGTAACACTCCCAGTGTAAGGGGAGTGAGATATCTAGTCACACTAACTTGCAGGTTATGGATAGTTTGCCCCCCTCTAGCTCTGTGTAACACTCCCAGTGTAAGGGGAGTGAGATATCTAGTCACACTAACTTGCAGGTTATGGATAGTTTGCCCCCCTCTAGCTCTGTGTAACACTCCCAGTGTAAGGGGAGTGAGATATCTAGTCACACTAACTTGCAGGTTATGGATAGTTTGCCCCCCTCTAGCTCTGTGTAACACTCCCAGTGTAAGGGGAGTGAGATATCTAGTCACACTAACTTGCAGGTTATGGACAGTTTGCCCCCCTCTAGCTCTGTGTAACACTCCCAGTGTAAGGGGAGTGAGATATCTAGTCACACTAACTTGCAGGTTATGGACAGTTTGCCCCCCTCTAGCTCTGTGTAACACTCCCAGTGTAAGGGGAGTGAGATATCTAGTCACACTAACTTGCAGGTTATGGACAGTTTGCCCCCCTCTAGCTCTGTGTAACACTCCCAGTGTAAGGGGAGTGAGATATCTAGTCACACTAACTTGCAGGTTATGGACAGTTTGCCCCCCTCTAGCTCTGTGTAACACTCCCAGTGTAAGGGGAGTGAGATATCTAGTCACACTAACTTGCAGGTTATGGACAGTTTGCCCCCCTCTAGCTCTGTGTAACACTCCCAGTGTAAGGGGAGTGAGATATCTAGTCACACTAACTTGCAGGTTATGGACAGTTTGCCCCCCTCTAGCTCTGTGTAACACTCCCAGTGTAAGGGGAGTGAGATATCTAGTCACACTAACTTGCAGGTTATGGACAGTTTGCCCCCCTCTAGCTCTGTGTAACACTCCCAGTGTAAGGGGAGTGAGATATCTAGTCACACTAACTTGCAGGTTATGGACAGTTTGCCCCCCTCTAGCTCTGTGTAACACTCCCAGTGTAAGGGGAGTGAGATATCTAGTCACACTAACTTGCAGGTTATGGACGGTTTGCCCCTTCTAGCTCTGTGTAACACTCCCAGTGTAAGGGGAGTGAGAGATCTAGTCACACTTACTTGCAGGTTATGGACGGTTTGCCCCCCTCTAGTTCTGCGTAACGCCCCCAACGTTTGGGGAGTTCAAGAACCGTGATTCCACTCTGTCCCCATAAGGCTACTAGACTGCCACTGGGGTTAAAGGTCAAAAACTCCACATCGAACCTCGGGGCGTTGGAACACAGGAGGATCTGGAAATTACAAGCAATAGTTACATTGATGATACTGTTAGGTTTACACTTTTGTACTAGAAAATTCAGGGCAATGATATAGATGATATATAAGTTTGACTCCTCAAAGTGTTTTGACACTAAAAGTTTCAAGAAATTGTTAACTAACTTCTGAAATGGCTACATGTTGAGGATCAACTGAAATCCCAGCTTTTTTACAGGGAGTTTCTTAAAATGTCAAAGAAAAATAAAATATTCTCGCTTTATTGTTACTACTTAACCTTTGCCCATCTTTTGGCCATCAATAGATTATTTACATCAGGTATATACACAAAGGACCAATTGGCAAGCAAAAACATATCTGTAACAGTACGCTCGATCACAAGTCACAGACAAAAATTCAATACTTTGTCATTTTTTTGCCAACACTTTGTAACACTAAAGGACAGATGAACTGATCACAGTGTATTGTACATCAATAATCATTGATTGTGAGCCACAAAATGCATGTGTTGGGAAGAGATTTGTCTGTACTTGTGGCCCACCCAATATTGTATAGTGGTCACATCACACTGACATAATATGTGTTGGGTAGAGATTTGTCTGTTTACTTGGGGCCCACCCAATAATGTATAGTGGTCACATCACACTGACATAATCAATGATCCAATTTTATACACGCGATCAATACACCATGCATCCTGATGCACATTGGAGTTGAAGTAGAGGCCAATATTTATACCATTTCTTGTATTTCTATTTCCCATTCAAAGTTACAGATCAGGATCACTCCAGACACAACATGGATGGAAATACAACCGAGAACAGATTCGTTAAACTCAAATGGAGAGGCAAATGCTTTAAGTCAAAAACACAGAAAAAAGTCACATTTATTTTTTGCATTTTACTGTGAATACAGTTGTACTTACTACAAAATGTATCCTTACATTGTTAGCTATGATATCACATTGGGTGTGTAATAAAAACCAATGTTATAGCGTTACAATAGAAGTGCATCCTAAATCTTCCTCTGGAGATCCTAATAACCTGCATATTTGATTTTTTTCCCATACCCAACCACCACAATAATAATCTCAAGATAACCCAACCACCACAATAATAATCTCAAGATAACCCAACCACCACAATAATAATCTCAAGATAATCAGGATGGTCAAACACATGAAATATCACCAAGACATTTTGTTGACGAGGAAACTATTATGTTCTAAAGAAGATTTATCAACAAAGTACATGTACCAAATTACTTCCCTTTGCCCACGTTTACGATCCCCTCAGGCTACTCATGGGCCCCGGGCCTGCAGTTTTAAGTTTTAAAACTAACATGTATTCAATATACAGTATAAGTAAATAGATATCAGTGCTAATGAAATTTTCGATATATTTATCATGTAAATATAGGCTGAGCTCGGAATTTGTTTTTCAAAATCTGTCTGTCTGAACTTGTCAGAAGTGATATTTAATCAAAAAGGAAACTGCAGCAGTTCTGTTGTCTCATTGAACTTGTGATATATTTTGTTGTGCCTTGTGATATCACCATGGGAGATAAAATACTTTGTGACATGTTTTCTATGACATATTTTATACCTTAATTAATGCTATATCCCACATATACCTGTTGTTTTCTGTGACATATTTTATACCTTAATTAATGCTATATATATCCCACATATACCTGTTGTTTTCTGTGACATATTTTATACATTAATTAATGCTATTATTATATCCCACATATACCTGTTGTATTCTGTGACATATTTTATACCGTAATTAATGCTATATATATCCCACATATACCTGTTGTTTGCTGTGACATATTTTATACCTTAATTAATGCTACATCCCACATATACCTGTTGTTTTCTGTGACATATGATATGTTATACCTCAATTAATGCTATATATATCCCACATATACCTGCTGTTTTCTGTGACATATTTTATACCTTAATTAATGCTATATCCCACGTATACCTGTTGTTTTCTGTGACATATTTTATACCTTAATTAATGCTACATCCCACATATACCTGTTGTTTTCTGTGACATATTTTATACCTTGATTAATGCTATATATATCCCACATATACCTGTTGTATTCTGTGACATATTTTATACCGTAATTAATGCTATATATATCCCACATATACCTGCTGTTTTCTGTGACATATTCTATACCTTAATTAATGCTATATCCCACATATACCTGTTGTTTTCTGTTACATATTTTATACCTTAATTAATGCTACATCCCACATATACCTGTTGTTTTCTGTTACATATGATATGTTATACCTCAATTAGTGCTATATCCCACATATACCTGTTGTTTTCTGTGACATATGATATGTTATACCTCAATTAGTGCTATATCCCACATATACCTGTTGTTTTCTGTGACATATTTTCCTTTCCATTAATTTTTCACTAGAAAAATTGCATCTGATTTTTTATGACTTGTAATTTTGACAGGATTATGAGTTGATTGCAGTGAATATACAATGTGTCCCAATACACAGGAACATCATGTTGTATCACAAATCAGAAACAAATATATCGCTGTGTCACATTATTTTTAAAAACAATTTTATGCATCTTCGTAAATTAATTACTACACAGTCATGCAGAGTAACAGAAAAATTAAACTGTTCAGTTTTCCTAAGACAATATATTGTGATAGGTATATTACAATACATTATGATACCATCACTATCACAACATATGACTATATTACATGTCAAAAAATATATTACCATAATAAAATCATGCAATGGACATAACAGATCTAGATGTGTAGAGAAGATGGCAGAACTTCAGACAAGAAGAATCCCTGGTGAAAACATGTTTTCAGCAATACATTATGTACTTGTATAAAAGCTTCAATTTATTTCCATTTCATATGGAATTAATGTAACTGATCCCACATGTTTCAATAAATCTTGCCCAATCAAGTGATGGTGATGATGATGAGGATGAGGACGATGATATATAGTGATAATACTTCAGTCCAACAAGTAAAGGAACCCTTCCTGTAATAATTTCAGCTTTTTATGAACAGGACTCCCAAAATGAGTTGTTAAGTAATTGATTATAAACAACACAGACAATGTGATCCATTTATGGTCATTTAAATTCTTAACAAATGAATAATTGATTCATTAATTAGATCATAATAGAAAATAAAGTGGCAGAAAATAACTTATAAAATAATCAGAATTTACGTATCAAATAATGAAGGTCTATTTGCAATTGGCAATCGGTTTCAGACGCTTGAATGGGAATGTGATTTCAAGCACCAAACTAACCATGGAAAGACATGAGCAATAATATTCCAAGAGACAAGTTGAATAGTTTTCAAAAATGTCTTAGGATTGTACAAACAAATGATGTATTATGGAAATATTGGTAAATCAACAGTAAAATGTACATTAATTCTGTATCATGGTGCGCTGTGGTCCAGGTCTGATGTTCCAGTATAACGGTAAATTGTGACACCCCTATCAACTTCGGGTAAGCAGTGAGTCATTCTATGTATAATTAATGAATTTTTGAGAATTGAATGAGTCAAAACTGAAAAAGTATGAGTATTTGGCACATGACTCACAAGAAAATAAAATACTGCTAATAATGTGTATGGTGCCATATAACCATAAGCTGATAGAAATACCAGTGAATATATATTTGTTTATCCCCATTATGACTTACTGATGAATACTACCAGGCTGCCAGATTCATTTGGCATATGAAATGGCAGAAATTAGATGCCACCTCATCACTAGCTGCTCCTGGGAACAAATCTAGACCCTGAATCAGGTGCCAATAGATCATTAAATTAAGCTGTCATTAACAGGTACATGTAGATCATTAGACAGTGGTAACAGCAAACATCAAATCATGTTTATTGGTTATTTGATTACAGTATATCAATGTTTTGAGACAGGTTCCAAATGGTTATATTTCTGTCTGACAAAAATATTGTCTTCAATTTGGTACAGGCTCAATATCTAGGTTTTTTGGTTTAAATATAATCTTCCCAATTCTGGAACATGTGTTTCATATACCCGTCAATAAAACATTTAATGGAACAATTTATTTACATTGGTACATTTCTTAACGGTCGTATTATCAGTTGTAAACACTGCAAAAAACAGTGTGATTTCTGTTGATCAATTCTTTCTGTGACTTGTAATTGCTGAATATTGTCATTTCCGCATTATTATTTAGATCTGTGTTCTGTGATTTCCTTGTGATTTCTGTGTATTTTGGTTGTGTATCTCACCAATTCAAACATGTCCTGTAAAAATGTGTTCTGTTTAAAATTTTAAAAATCTTTTAAAATTGCAAGTGAACAAAGTCAAAACGAATGCAAAATAATTTTTGGTCTTTTGTAATCCTTAAGTTTCACACAGACAAAATATCTGACACTGTGATATCTGTTGAATTATTGTAAGAAGTGTAGCGGAACTGGACTTGGTGGATTATTGATGGCAGTAGCTCAATTAGTTGGAGCATCCATCCAGAATTCAGAAGGTCCCGGGTTTGAACCCGGTCTGGCCGTTGCATTAATTCTCTTTCTCCTGTTATAAAGCATAAAATTTGTCAGAGGGAAAACATGTTTATTTGTCCAATAAATTTTAATAGATCCTTTGTAACAGAGCTATCCGATCACTCACGACCGACCTTCATTCAGTCTTCACTACTTATACTTGTAGGTAATGTTACACACAACCATTTTTTTTTTTAATTTTGTCAACTTTCATTTTCCCTAAATGTATTGTAGGGATATAGGGGGGCTTTAACAATCCTATTAGTATGTGGGATTTTCCCATTGCATCGGGCCTGAGGCTCTCAGTTACAGGTAATCGAGTCAGTGATGATATGTGCAGTGATAATCTCAGGCAGTGGAGTCAATTGTATCATACCTGCGCCTGATTCCTCTCGCGATCTGCACACTCTGGCAGAAGATTCTTGAGATTGTAGAAGACGAGGTGGGATGCAAAGCTATCCCAGACATATAAATCTCCACCCTGGACAGCAGTGAGTCCCTTTGATGTACTGCAGCGTTTCTGTCTGGAATCCTTTGCATTATTTTCACGCAATTGTTTACAAAACGGCTGGTCATTCAAACATGTGCGCCAATTGTCAACACCCGCCATCTTGAAACGTAGCCTCAAACGGTTTCAGACTGATTGCTTGATTCTGTCACTGTTCAGCATTCCTGTAATACGCTGTATCTTTGCACATTCTGGAGTTTAACATTAACTTCTGTGAATTCATTTTTTATTCAAAGTGTTCTTTAGACAGAGTGAACATGAATGGTAATTAATACACACGTTTAGAGAGTATCTTCGATTTCGGCCAGTCATGTGATCAATCGATCGGGGCTATAATCCCGTTCAAGATGGCTGCGGGAGTGCAGTCGATGTGTCAGTATTGGAAAGACTTCGATCTACAAGAACTGCAGGTAACTTTTATTTTTCTTTAATTTGTTGCTATGGTCTTGTTGAAACAAACCCAGAAAATACATTAGAGGCATTAGAAAGATGTGTTTTGTCTCAGTTCTGAAGTTGTGCGGTACTTTATCCAACTTTCCACTGGTAACCTACTGACTATCGAATATAGTGTATTACGGCTATCAGCGATAGATCAATATGGCGGAGTGATCATGCTTTGCAGCTGAAGCAGGGCTTCTTTTGTCTCTGCGAAACTCATTATGAAATCAATCGATTTATTTCGCAAACAGCACTGAAGTGTGAAAGTTAGAAAAGTTTTGAGTTGACGATCGTGTATTTAGCTGACAACATCGGAACATGTTGAAGTCAGACAATTGGGGATGAGGATGGCTGTTCTGTGTGGAATTAATCGGGCGCGAAGCGAGCTAGGGCGAAACTGAGTCTGTCTATGGGTACAAACAGAGATTGGGTCGAGTCATGTCATTTACCAGCAGTGAAACGAGGCCACGATTTGTTTGGGTTTTGGGACCTTTAAATAATATGTAAACAGGACGAAGGACACAATACACAGCAGACACTGTAACCTCGTTGTGTATTGAACTCCGCAGCACATGTGCGACTTTGTTGATACGGTCTTTGTTGAGTTTGTGTGTTTATCAGATAGATATGTACTTTGACTTGTTTTAAGGACAAATGGTCCTGATTATTTCCTTGGTAAAGGAAATTTATGGACAAACTTTGTATAAACAGTACATCACATTGTATATAAAAAGTTTTCACTATTTCTTTGACGGAGGGATTTTTTTCAGATTTCAAAATAATAGATATATAATATCTTAATGATTTGCAGTAAAAGCAAAAAACAGATGAAATAGGTAAACTGGTATATAAAAATATATAATTTAAATAAATTGGCAAACTTCAAATAAATTTAATCTGGTACCAATAACAACAACAAAAAATTAAATTAAAAAAATGCATTGAAATTGTATTTTAATTTTCATCTTTTTAATTAATATGATCTTTCCGGTTTTATTTAAGAAAAAGAGATATTTTCCTTATGTTTATTCCAGGCTGTTAAGTGCATGTGTTCATTGAATTGTCCAAAAAACCTCTAACATTTAATATTGAAAATGGATCTAATACATCAAAGTAAAATTCCCCAAATTGTTCTTAGTTGATTAAATGTAATGATGATGTAATTAGTATTTTTCTGTTTCCTTGCATCAGTATTATTCTACTTTAATTGTTTGGTTCTTTCATAGCGGGGACTCTGAGACGCATATTGACAGGATAAATTACTCAAGACGACTGTTTAAGAGGAAGTAAATACAGTGTGTTCTATCTGCACACAAGATACATACGGTGCCATCACTGTATCGTGGAAGGATGTCGCTACAGACATGCTCACATGCAAAAATCAATATTTTCTTTTTATGACAATGCTTTTATTGATTTTATTTCTCTTTTGAAATGTCTTTCTCCTTCCCATTAATCATGATCTAAATTTGTTAGGAGAACAAATTGGGTTACAGTTATTGATTAGGAGTGTATCGATCGACCAGGCAGCGTGTCATGAGGGGCCACCAATTTCAAATTGCATATGAGGAGTATATGGTCGTGTATTGATCGGTGGTACGGAGTAGGATCACTCCAACACACACTATGTAAGCAGATACAGATTTTTCATCATACATCTATATTGATTTTAATTATTTAAAACTTGATGCTGGTTAGTTGAGAGTGATTCTATACAAATTAGATGTAACAGCATATATTGATTTAGAGAAATCATCGGCATTAAAACTGATTAAGTCTGTTTAAGGACCCGAGGAAATTATTGATATAGGAACAATTTCAGAAGTAAACATCAATAATTTTGTGCTAGAAAATTATTGATACCAACAAATGGCTAAAGATTTCAGAAATGGGATCGATAAAATCATAATTATTCAACATTTTTTATTCATCAATTAAAAGGTATTGATTATATTAACACAGAGACTAAGTGAGTATTGGTTCTAGTCTTGTGTATATATCTGTAGTTAATAGCTTCAGCTGTTGGTCCTTATATAATTAGGCAGAGCTTCACACCAGTTTGTTAGGGAGGGATTGGGAGATATGATAATATAAAAGAGAATATTGATTATAGAGGTAATAATGTGTATTGATTTTACTTATTCTGGTGGCTTTTTTTGGGGAAACAATGTAATATTAACAGAATATTGACCACCGTTACTGTACTTACATCGCTGCTATCAACAATACACATTCCCTGCAGTGTATAAACTTTCTGGTTATGAAATATTTGCAGTGAATATAATTTAGCATTAGTCAGCACAAAAGATGTCCTTGTGAAGAAGTGAGGCATTTTTGTTGTTTATTTCTCTTTATTTTATTAAGATAAATGGCATCTTTATTTCTAAAGAACTGTTAAAAGTTCTGATATGTATTTGGCCCCACTGCTCTATATCTATTTCACCAAAACATAAGATTATTGGTTGGACAGACAAGTGATAACTTTACAAGGGATTGTCTATGTAAAAACAAAGCACAGTTATTTTAAGACCGTGTACGGAGGTCTGACACAATTTACGTGTGAAGCTGGGAGTTGAACCCACATCTACACCAAGAGTTCAAAATACATTTAATTACTGTTAAAGTCACAAACATTGATCTATGATTGGTTAAGACTCCCACAAAACTAAAAATGTTGATACTAATTTTTCTATAGGAAGATTTTCTACTGAAATTATACTTTTCCTGGAATTTAGTGGAAGATTATTCGATTTATCTGTAATACAATAATAATAGATAAATAAGTTTGATTCACCAGTGGTTTTATTTCAGAATATTTCCGGGGCATTTTGAAAATATGCAACATATAAGATGGAGAAAACTGATAGGGAATAATGTATCGGTCATTTAAAGCCACTTTTTTCTATTTCTCTATTTTAATAATAAGTACAGAAAATCCCTGTTGTGTCATTAAAAAGCATGATATCAAATTATAAAGCTGAGATTTTCATTTAACTGAAATCATGCATGTATCAAATAAAAAGAAAAAAGATCCTTTTCTCCAGGAAAGGAAAACAGTTAAATTGGGGGAATACAATAGAGTAACTATGTGTCTGAGATACCCTAGTTATAGGTGTGATTATACGTGGCCACTGTAACAAGTTATAGTTATAGGTGTGATTATACGTGGACTGTTGATTACATTCTGAAATCAGGACTAATCAATAATGTGTGTTTTGTGTAAACACTGATGTCGACTATTGATTTATTGACGGAGGCTATTGGGCCGAGCGTGCCAGTACCCTCAGCACTATACACACACCAGTATTTCCTGTCTGGCTTGTATCACGACTACAACAGACAGATATACTCGTACATAATGGTTTTCTATATCTGTCAAAGATACATGGGATGCTGTTCTCTGAAGAAATATTGCCGATGAACAGATTTATCTCTATTTTGATCTTGCAGTCTCTCTCTCTCTTTTTTTGAATTAATGGAAATGGAGGAATTTGACAATATGTGCCTACACAGTTGCTTGGTTGCTTTGCTGGATTTTTTCTTTGCTGCATTTCGGTTCCAAAAATAAAAATCTGTGTTTCATCAAATGCATTAATAGTATTATTTATATGGACATTTCACATTGTATCGTACTCAAGATGCATTACATCGGTAGGAGATACAGATTAGATGGCTGTTCAACTGGATTTGTATCTTAAAACCCCGCTAAAAATACGGGCAACTTTTGTACAGATTCTGATCCGATGTAATCACAACGCATGGCAATATATATATATATTAAAACTGATTTGATAAGAAAAAATATAAAAGAAAACTGCTGGTTTTTATACTAGAAAGGCAGGTTATAGGTGGCAAAACTGTTACCACATAATAAATAAATAATAAAATCCAAACTTCACTTTTTTTTGGGAAATGTTATTAGGATTTGACAGATAACTTAGTTGGAAAGATTTAGTCTTCTTTTCAAAATTTAGCTTTCTTTATTAAAAGTGCTGGTTTAAAATTGTTATGAAAACTTGTATAGGGAAAATACATTGGCACAAAAATCTAGGATAGTTAGTGTTAGCAGAAACAGGTAGTGTTTACACTTTATTACAGGTAGGTGATCAAATATAGGTTGATATTTAACTCGTACTAAACCATTCACTGTGAGAATAAATCATGTAAATTCTGAAGCTATCAGTGATGATGATTCACAGATACATAAACCGGTATACTTTGCCAGCTGTGTGACTTATATAACATCATGCTTTGTGACAATCAAAGACAAAAACAATTCATACACTTTTAAAAAAAACTAACATTTGTATTATGAAGATTCCTGGGGAGGATATCATAGAAAAGCCTGAACTGGTACAGATTTGTACTTGTTTGGTGATTAGCAGAGAAGTCTAATGATACCGGGATTATTGTTACTCTGGCTTTGTGTAGAATTACGCAACAGTGACATAGTGCTTTGTTAATGTTTTGTTGTACAGTGTAGTTTGATAACAAAAGTGTGGCGTTGGATGTGGTATCGGTGTCAGAGCAAGGACAGCCATATCCTGTTTTAGTGTTCAGTTCTTCTCTTCTGCGTCATTTTAGGGCCAAACATTGAAGTCGCCTGAAGTCCCGGTGATGTTTTGACAATGTCTTCCCAATTTGATTAACGAAACGTCACAATTTTACTAAATCAAAAAAAAATCACAGATAAATAAATAAAAAAAGATTGAGGTACACAGATTAGTACATGTAGGAAGGAGACAAAATAATGTTTGGTAACTTGTGTCTAATCCCTTTTGTATTTTTGAAAATAAAATATGTACAAAAATAACTTAAAATCACCCTTTAAACTTCAAAATGAATGAGAATCACCCGCACAATTGGACAGAGACATCATATCAGGAAATTTCTAGTTTAAAAGAAGACCAACATTTCTAAAATAGAGTCAATTTGCTCCTTCTTTAAGTTCTGTAAACTTCGTACATGCAGT